TTAGAAAAATCAACTGGACTAGGTTTTTAGGGCGAAGGCATTTCAAGAACTGATGAAGCCCCTTGGATGAGAGGTGAAACGTCTTCGACCTAAAAGCCTAGTCCAGTTGATTTTTTTTCTACACTTTTGTTTTCCAGCAAAACCATACCTTATCAAAAGATTTGAAGTACAGCAAATCAACATACAGTGCCTTGCGAAAGTATTCGGCCCCCTTGAACTTTGCGACCTTTTGCCACATTTCAGGCTTCAAACATAAAGATATAAAACTGTAATTTTTTGTGAAGAATCAACAACAAGTGGGACACAATCATGAAGTGGAACGAAATTTATTGGATATGTCAAACTTTTTTAACAAATAAAAAACTGAAAAATTGGGCGTGCAGCCCAATTTTTCAGTTTTTTATTTGTTAAAAAAGTTTGAAATATCCAATAAATTTCGTTCCACTTCATGATTGTGTCCCACTTGTTGTTGATTCTTCACAAAAAATTACAGTTTTTATATCTTTATGTTTGAAGCCTGAAATGTGGCAAAAGGTCGCAAAGTTCAAGGGGGCTGAATACTTTCGCAAGGCACTGTATAAAATAATTTTTCCTTACAAATATGACAAACTCCACAGTCCATCACTGTTTCATGTCCTGCCTTACAGGATCTAACCAAGCAATCAATACCTGTACTTGACAGTTTTGGATACTAAAGGCAGCAAATGTACCACTCAATGCTCAATGGTACTAGTCACAAATCTGCACCTTAGAGACTTTCTAGACCCCTTAGGTAACAATCAGTCATTTCTTAACTGTGCCAAAATTAAATTTAAGGTCTTGAGAAGGTGCCTACTTAGGTCCCACTATCTGGAAATTGCCATATGACCTGTTCAATCACCAAAATCAATACTTTTAAAAAGAGGCTTAAAACATTTCTCTTTTCCTGTGACTATGAATTTGCTTGTTTTTAATTGTTTGCTACATGTGGGTGGGGTATGGGTATATGTGTTTGTGAGACTGTGTCAGTATTTGTTGTTTTTACATTATTTCTATTATCTTTTTTGATGTTAACATTGTATGATTTTATCTATGCTCTCACAGTGTATGTGAGGCATCTTGAGCCTCCATTGTGTATGAAAGCTGTGGTATAAATGAACTTAACCTTAAAGCTACCACCACACAAGCTGGAAAGGAATTGGGGTTCTTCCAATTTAGAAGAATGCCTAGCCTAGAAAGATACAGAAGTTTAATAACAAATAAAAAGCACTCTGTAATGTCAGAACTGCATATTATTCATCATTAATAAAGGAAAAGAAGAAAACCTGATTACTTTTCAGCAATGTAGCCAGGCTAATAGTCATAGCTCTGTAGGGCATAGTATTCCCTTAAATCCCAGTAATAATGACTTCATGAGTTTATTTACAAATGCAATCTTAACTATTAGAAGAAAAAAAAAATCAGATCCTTCCCACAGCTCTCACGGATGTGTCATCAACTACAATGGCTTTAGAAACATCTGTGAGACCTCATTTATACTTGGACTACTTCTCTCCCATAGATCTCTCTGAGTTGACCTCAACAATTGCTTCATCTAAATCATCAACATGTCTCCTGGACCCCATCCTGACCGGGATGCTGAAAGACGTCTTTCCCCTAATCAACACATCCATACTAAATCTGATTAACCTCTCTCTATTAACAGGTTATGTTCCACAGGCTTTTAAAGTTGCAGTAATTAAACCTCTACTCAAAAAGCCTACTCTTCACCCAGGTGTCCTAGTTAACTATAGAATGATATCTAATCTGCTGTTTATTTCTAAAATCCTTGAAAAAGCTGTTGCTAAGCAGTTATGTGACCACTTGCACAAGAATAATTAGTTTGAGGATTCAGGAGTCTCAGTTCAGGAGGCGGACACCCTCTCTACCTTTAAGATTAGACTTAAGACTTTCCTTTTTGATAAAGCCTATAGTTAGGGCTGGATCAGGTGACCCTGAGCCTTCCCTTAGTTATGCTGCTATAGGCCTAGGCTGCTGGGGGGCCCCATGATGCTCTCCTCTCGATCCATCTATATGCAACCACTACCCGTCACTAACTTTGTGTCTCCTCTTTCCAGTAGTGTCCTCTCTCTCTCTCTCTCTCTCTCTTTCCACAGGTTGCCCTGGAAGCTCTACGTCTCTGATGAGCAGTCACTGGCCACATCAACCCAGTGTTTGTTTGTTGTTTGATTCTGTTCTTTTCTCTCTCCTCTATCCACTCACCCCAACAGGTCGAAGCAGAAGGCCACCCACCGCCGGGGTCTGTCAGAGGTTTCTTCCTTTAAAGGGAGTTTTTCCTTCAAACTAGTGCTAAGTGTTTTTTAAGGGGGTTTGTTTTTCTCTACAACACTGTAAGGTCTTTATCCTACTATGCAAAATGCCTTGAGATGATTTTTGTTGTGATTCAGTGCTATACAAATAAAAATGAATTTAACTATATAAAAATATTGATGAGTACATTTGTATTTCAAATCTTGTATATTTGGGCCCTTTCCATTTCCACCCTTACATTATACATCTGATTTGTTTTATCTGGTTTTATTTATTGTTATTATTTTTTAATGTTTTACTGTAAAGCACCTTGTAATGTAGGTTGAGAAAGGCGCTATATAAATACATTTTGCTTGCTTTTAACTCCGTTTATTTTGTCCACCATGTGTTCCATCCAGTCTCCTGTGGCCATACCTCCTCTGTAACCACTCAGTTTCCCCACTACAGCCTCATTCGCTTCCACTCTCATAATAACTTTTACTGTAATTTCTACTTCCTCCATACAGGCAGCGTCACAGAGCCTCTGACCTGCACAATCTCTTTGACCAGCGTCTTGTCTGTGCTGATCTTGGCACGCTGCAGCCCGCTGACGTCTTCACCAATCCAAGTGATGAAGGTGAACTTGGCTCGTTTGCTCATGGCATCTCCAGTAGTGATCCGGAGAAAGCCAAACAGACGAGCATCATCTGAGGGAAGAGATGAAAGAGACTATGTAAGACTAAATAAACAGACTGAAGCTGCTTAAAGCTGACATTTTAAAATGTTATACATTTCAACACACCCTAGCAGAAGACACACACACAAAACTCTCGTTTGATCAGGGGCTGACTCACACAAACTGCTATAAATCACTATCTCAGACTGTTGCTACACCGGGTCGGTATTGACTGACCTCCTGTAAAGTGATACAACATCATGTTCTACTCCTCTGTCTACTGGCAGAAAAAGGCCACAAGTTGCACCTTTAAAATCAAAAATGCTACATATCTCTTAGACAAGATGCTTTTCATCAGTGAGGTAGAACTGATAGTCACAGATGCTCTTTATAAAGGAGGCACAGTGAAATAGTGCAGCAGTTCCAGTTCAGTATGACCACTCAAGATACACATATGTAATGAGCTGCAAAACTACACTTTCTGTGTGTGTACATACAGTGGTTTTGTGAGTTCAGTACTAAAATTGTGAGGGAATTTCTACATAGTGAGGACACTGTACTTATCCTGTGAAGGTTAATTCATGGTTTAAATTAAAATGAGAGCTGGGGTTAGACTTTTAGTAGTGATGGTTGTGGTTAGGGTAAGGGGCAATAATGCATTAGGGCAATAAGAGTCCTCACAAATAAATTTTATATATATGTATGTATGTACGTACACACACACACACACACACACACACACACACACACACACACACACACACACACACACACACACATACACGCAGAGATGCTGCTCTACAGATAATGTCTGAATCCATAATAGCAGGCTGACAAGAAACAACATTACTGCTGCTTTTTTGCCTCTTGGTCGAATTGAAATGGAACCTTATTAACAAGGAACATTGCTCTTTAGGGTGAACTACTCACAGATATTTGCAACTTGTGAAGAGGGGTCACAAGTAGACAGCGCTTGGCTATAAAGGGTCACACGTCAATAAGGTAGTGGACCCGTGGAAGAGGGGAAAGCCAACTTTCCAGTAATGACCTCTATATGCCTTGCATGGTATAAGGGCATACAGTAAGTGTTATGCATACATTGGTATTAGATATATCAAATGGTTAACACAACAATGGCAAAACTTAGATATCTTCAATACTAAACTACAGTAACCACTAGGATCCCTTTAGCCTTCACTAGTAGTAGACTATTAAATATCCACTGCTATATATGTGCTGTAGCATATTTTTACCTTATTGTCACTAAAGTTGGTTTTCCCAAGATGGTTGAAAAACATATTTTGGTATTCAAATCCTGATATAAAATTCAGTAGATTCACCATTTTAATTCTTTCCTTCTGAGAGAGCCAGGCAGTCGTGTAAAAAAAGTAAGTGGTAGTACACAGGGTGTATCTACCCATGGATAATGATATCTGATAAGTCCAAAGAGCCCTCTAATGAGGTACAGCACTTGAAATCATATCCACTAATAGCCACCATATTTGGCAGGCAGAACACATGCTTCTGTCTTACTAACGAATACTGACTGCTGTGGAAGCTATTTTCACGAGATAGTGTTAACAAAAATGAGTATGCCAGACACGTTGTGTTAAAACACTGTTCAAACACAGAAGACCCCAGTAACCCAGAATTTAACTTCATTATACTCCTCTCAGTAAGCATCACTGGCATTTGTGAGTATCAATCAAAAGCACTGTGGTGGGGGAGATAACTAGAGCAATAGATGATTTCTGGGTTAAACCTGGGACCCACTTAGGTCACAAGGCTTTGCAGTAATCATTTTCCAAATTATAACATTATGATTTACCTGTAAGGGCTAAGGCAGGGTAACTGGACTCGCTCTAGAGTCTTGACTGGACTTGGTTAAAGGTGTGGATATGGTAAATGGTAAATGGACTGTATTTTATATAGCGCTTTCTCACAGTGTGTTGCGCTGGCCAAAGCGCTTTACAGAGATGATACACCATTCACCCATTCACACACAACATTCACACACTGATGACGACAAGCTGCCATGCACCGGCGCTAGTCAAGCCACCAGGAGCAATTCGGGGTTCAGTGTCTTGCTCAGGGACACTTAGGCATGCGGGGAGACCGGGAGTCGAACCACCAACTTGCTGGTCAGGAGACGACTGCCCTACCTCATGAGCCACAGCCACCCCCCATATGGAATGAAACAGTAAGCAGAGAAATGATAGCTACCAGTTTGTACATTAAGTAAACAGAATCAGTCACAGTTTGTTTCACAGATCTCCATGTGAAAACGCTGGACAGGTCATTTGACCACTGCCATTCTTTTATGCATTTCACACCTATTTCCCTAACCACTTTGTCTAACAAATGTACCTGGGTTGTTTTTTCTCTGTCTTCTGGCACAGCAGTGAACTATGAGCTGCAGCCCTAGACATCCTCAAGTCCTCATCAGAGCGTTCCCGCTACTGCCAGAGAGATCAGTATGTTTCCATCTCACTGGGTTAGCAACACACACAATCTCTGTGTAAATGAATTCAAGACTGATTTAAGAACTATACAAGTGGAGCTACAGCAGGGATGACAACAGCATCACACACCAGCCAGTCTATGAAACATTAGCACACCCTGTGCAGCAGAAGTAACAGAAAACATTCGTTCTCAGTCTGTTCAAACTTAAGATACATGTATAAAATTACAAGTAAAATATTTTGAAATGATTCAATGTAACTAAATAGTTTAAGAGCGTAGATTAATTTTGTCGATCGGGCAGTCATTCATCAGGAAAGAATACCAAACATTCATTTGTTCCTGATTGTCAAACCGTAGCATCTTGTTGACTTTACACAGCTTCCGGGTTTTGGATCGCTGGTCAGACAAAACAAACAAACAATCTGAAGACATCGCCCTATCACCTGTTTTATGACACTTTACTGCTCAGATGAAAACCACAGCAATGATTTAGTATTTACATAAGTCAGACTTAAAAAAGCAGATATCCTGACTTTGTCTGAAACTCTGGATCCTACATTTCCCAGAATGCAGCTCAATCTTTCTTTAGAACCTCCCTGCCTAGTAAATGTCCTGCGTATTGCAAACTCCACATTTGCAGTTTGTAATCCAGGCTTTCTGTTACAAAGTCCTCTCCATGGTCACTTGAAAAAGCTCCTCCAGAGCCACAGAAAACACAAGTTGCCCTTTTACTTTACTGCAGGGACACCAGCCATCCTGTGTTGCTCTTTTGCAAAACTGCTCTGCATTCCAGAGACTGATTTAAAAGAGAGAATGGTCCCAATCATATCAGTGGAGGCAGAGTAAACCTGATTTCTAGTCAAGATCCAAAAGCATCCTGTTATTTCATACAATACAGCTCAGCATCATCTTTCCCCAGACTCTCCCTACTGGACCTGGTAAGCGTTCACATCTATCAAACCCCATGCCCCAAACTGTAATGCAGGATTACTGTTGGAAAGACCAAGCAGAAATAACTCTCGTGACGTCAACAAGGTTATTTTCTCAAGCTTAAGAAAACTGTATACGACTGTCTTCATAAGCTGAGTGGAAACCCCCATGAGAAGTCCACAGCTAGAATTTACAAAACTGCATTAGGGGCTTTTATAGTGTGAGCTGTGTTATCTTTATGCACCTACTGAAGCGGTTTCTCCAGGCGGAGGCTCAGCAGCACTGTTCTCAGACCAGACCAGATGCACATTAATGGGAGCAGCCACTGTCTTGTCAGCGTGTCCATGCAGGACAGTTACTCACTTCGACACTTTGCCTGGATGCAATGTGTGCACACACACATGCACAGTCACCTAATTGAACCGAGTCACTCCTGTGATACTCCAGGGGAATCACCCATCATTTGCACAGTAGTGATTTATAGTTATTTGTTAATCAATACACCTTCTTCCTTGCATGCCACTGTGTGAGAAGCCACTGCGGAACTGAGTCAGCTGCTGCAGAGATGACGGCGTTGAAACTCCAACGATGATGAGACAGCAAGAAAGACTTTGATTGGAGAGACAGTGGTCTCCATGAATGGATTTTGTTTCAGTACGGCAAAGGCTGGTGGGCGGCGCCAGTGTGTAACTTCCCCTCAGCCGACACCTAGTCCTTCTGCCACACAACCTGGAAACTGGAGCCGCCTCCCATGGACGGCGGCAGAAGGATTTGGTGAGGGGTGGTGTTACTGAAAGGTTAACCAAGTCCAAATTTGGTCTCGTTTTCATCTCTACTAACAGCCGAGACAAAAACTGAGGATGGCGATGCCAGTCAAGAAAGAACCAGTTATCAATTATTTTAATAATCAAATATTTTCCTGATTATGACATTGATTAATCAAGTAATGGGATGAGAAACAGTTGTTTTATTAAGTCAATATTCAACAGAGAAAATAAACCGATTCATTTCCTCTGTAGATAAATGAACATTTTTATTGATTAAATTGCAAACATTAATATCTATCAGAATTAAACTCAGTCCATACATTTATAGCCATGTTATATTCCGGGTTTTAAAGAAACCTACACCGCATCACTGTCAGGGGAGTAAGAGTGTGTGTGCATGTGTGGTGAGCCGTCTTAATATCCATTAGCCAGCCCAGATATATTGTAGATATCTGTAAGTCAGTTCTTCATAGTCAAAAAGAACATTTCAAATATCCATAACATCATTTTTCCTAGGACGGTGATGTGTATTAGGTATCACTTTTAGATATTCACAATTCTTGATATCCTGAATGCTCCTTCTGGATATCTGTAACAGGAATGTTCACATTTTAGACACAGTCCAATTCTTCTAATCATTATTTTAATTCATTTTTGCTTATATCCACAACACATCTGTAAACATCTGCATGCAGAATGTTTATTCTGGGTATCACAAATGGCACACTGGATGTCTGAAACTGAAAGTTCAATATACAAGAATGGCAAAAGTAAGTCTGTTTGTCCTTAGGAGAATGATGTGGGTCATAATAATTACAATAATAATGTGAATAAAACTCAGGGTTTCACAAACTGACTGCAGCAGTGTTTTCTGTGATAATTTTCTTGAGTTAACTACTCACTGTACTGATTTAGGTTCTTAACTGGTCATTACATCTAGCCGTGATTAAAATACAGTCATGTTGATTTATGATAAAGGCCAACGTTAACATTATCAGCTTCTGTTGCGTCCACTCAGTGGGCTGGATGCTTTCTGCTGAGATACCGGTGCAGTGAAGTTGTGCTGTTGTGTTAGACTAGTTCAGTTTTACAGCAGAGTACAATGTTCTTCACTTCTCACTTTCTTTTCCTTTGTTTTGTAATATATGTGTAGACACTATAATCATTCATTCATAACACAGCGAACCACATACAAGTGATATGGACTAAATGAAGCTTTAGTGCCAAGATTTTGTATTGATCATTTATAGTAATCAAGTTAACTGAGTTTCCCGAGGAATCGTTTCAGTCCTGGAATGAGCCCTACTGATCTTGTGACACATTTCTTTTATATGTAGTGCTATCCTTGAGTAGCAATGTCCCTACAACCAACACTGGAGATATTTGTGGACCCCCAGAGGATGACTTCTACTGTTTGGATAACCCATGGCTCTTTTCCCCAGGGCCACCATCAGGCCAGGATTTTCACCTCCCTGCTCCCTGTTTATTTCACACTATAGGTCTTTACCACTCTGCTGCATTTAATGAAGCATATCATCCACAGACAGCTGTTTAAAAAATATCACACAAACCTGCAGCTATTTACTGTTGCAAACCTTTCAGTGGTATGTGTTATCACTGATCAGGCGTCTTCTTGTAACTCTGATCTTAACCCTGTCCCGCCCTCTGCAGACGGTCACCCTGGTGAAGACCGTCTCTGGCCACTGTCCTGCTGACAGACAGACAGCTGCTCTGACTGCAAAGACACTGAACATCTCGTCTCCAATGTAAATTCCCAGTAAGAGCCTACATCATCTGGGAACCACGAAGGTCTGAAACCAGTTTGTGTCAATCCACTGAGTAACTGTTACTGCATTTCATAGGGTAAGTGTAAAGTATGATGTACTGCTGGTGCTGCATAAACAATATGCAGAGTATTAAGTCTTTAGGATCCATCCTCTGGGAATCTTGAAGATCCAAACTGAATTTCATGGCAATTTAATTTGTCCCAATCAAAAATGGCAACATCAAGGTGGCACTAGATAAAAAGTCAATAGGATTTGTCCTCTGGCAACTATAAATAATATCTGTTCCACTCACTGGATAGGTAGAACTCTGACCTGCTGATGATGCTAACGATGGGATCATCTAACTCAATAGGATTCATCCTCTGAGGACAAAGAATGCCTGCCCAAAAGTCTGGGAAACCCCTTCAAAATTAGTTTCAATTTCATTCTGGACATAAGTGTTAGGAGACTGACTGACACTTCCATCTCTAGAGCCACTGTGTGTAGCTAAAACTAATCTACTGGGAAGAGTTAAAACCTGAGAAGCAACTTAGCATCAGGGATTATCAGGACTAAGTTTCCCTTTAGCTGCAATTAATAATTAATGACACTGACTTAGCTACATATTGGTTGTTCTTACATTTTTTCAGTAGCAATTAGGTTTAAAGATCCTGGGGCAACTTGTGTTAGATGCAATACCTTCTTGCAGCGATTCAAGTTGTACACACCAGAAACCATCTGGTTTTACTTCCTGAAGCTATGTAGATAAGTTACAAATATCATTATTCAAAAGGGCTCCTCCTCGTCTAAGCGTCTGGAGGCAGTTGGTCTACAACAGCGCCTCCTACCGTCTGAAGGGTTTCGCCCCTGCTTAATGAGGAAAAGAAAGCCCATAATGTGTGTGTTGTCTCTGAACAGCAGCCAATGCAAACTCACCAGCTGAGCTGTTGTAAAGCACAGTGAGAAATGAGTTACTTCAACATAGGAATGTGAGCTACGGTCAGTTTAAAAACCATAAAAGGGTACAGCCGTGAGGCCTATGAGCTGTAAAGACAATGAGAATCAGAAACAGCCACACCCAACATCTTTACACCAGAGGACACAGGAAGAGGGGTACTCAGCTCAGAGTTTGAGATCATCTTTCTACATCCAGCCCACAGTTATTTTTGCTCACAGGGAATAATTACCTGACAGCAGCTTTCAATGCAGAGACATACTACTACTGTGCTGTCCTGCCAATACACTGCAAGCATTCATTTTAAAAAGCGCATAAAAACCATCAAACATTTACAACTATATCCTTATTCCATTCATATATGTGTAGATGCTTTTGTAGGAGCATTCAGAGGTATTACTGGTAGTGACAGGCAAAGTCGCTCGAACGCCAACAAGTTGGAGAACAAGTTTAGAAGAACTCCACCACCTAAAGGCTGACCGTAAATGTTTCACCACGAAAAAAAACATACAGCAGATTATAGAACAGATTATGCAATGTATACAGCGTAACGCAAAGTCCTACCAAGTCTAGCTGTGTGGCATATAGGCTGTTTAACTTGCCTGGAGACTGAGTGAACACACACACACACACACACACACACACACACACGTCAGCAGCAGGGAGAGGAGTTGCACCTGTATATTACATACACATTTCAGATAAGGTAGGGTATTCTATTTACCTGTGCACATCCCCTTGAACTCCTCATAGTCAGTCCCTGTTCCTGCAGGCACAATCATGGAGCCCTCATATTTAAATGCAGCCCTGGAAGATACAGAACACACGGTGTATTATTACTCCAAGCATTATCCAGTCTCATGATCTGCCGATTCACAGGAGTGGCATTACAGTGCAGTACATACACATCAGATTCATTTTGCAGACTGAAACAATGCAAAAAAGCCCAAGAAGCACGGGCACAGGCAGCTGTGTCAGCGTCACTGTTCTAACGTTATCCTCTCTGAATACAGGACAAAGGAAATTACTTGTGCCCCGCTGGGCCAGATAACTGTGCAGTGTGTGCCAACAGCCAGAATACAGATCAGCTAGTCCAGAGGGCCAGGACACTGAAAGCTGCTACTTTTTGTCACTACTGTTATAAGCACAGGCGGTGGAATCTGGGTTTGAAATTCCAGCCCGAACTACTTATAAATATGGAGCAATTTAAAGTTTCTTTGCCTAACTGCCAAACCAAATGTGGAATAAAACATAGCTCATTACACTTTCTATGGCTTTGAGAGCCCATCGTGAATTCGGCATGCGTCCAGTTAGTGACACCGTACTTATTTAAGTAAAATGTAAACGTTTATAAAAGGTCCGCTACTCATTTTAGCACTGCTCTCTACCCACAAGACGGCTCGTTGGGCGGTAACGGGCTATGAATTGGAAATATTAACCGAGTTTAGATCGAAATATAAGACTGCTTGGTGGATTTATATAGTTGCCGAAGAAAAGGTTGGCGAATGAGTATTCAGACGAGGTCCTACATTTTATGAATAGCAGGTCAGCCTTTGCAAATTGACGTGACAATATGCAGTAGTCACTTCAACCGAGTATGGACAGTAACCCTGTCGGCACACTCACCAACTGGTATCCGTGTTGTCGTCTCTGACTTTGTTGTAAGCCTCTCTGCAAGCCTCCTTATCAATCTGGGTTGCCATTTTTCGGGTGGACGGGAGTAAAACAGTCGAAGTCTACGTAGTATGAGTCCAACCGTGTGATAGCTAGCCAGACGGTAAATTCTTTAAAAAGCAGCTAACGTACACAGGAGATGCTGCACATCAAATAGCTAGAACTGGTCACGTTAATCTCCCAAATCACGACGGCCGAACTAACTTAACGAAAAACTGCGGCTCTTCCGTTCATTTCCCGTATATTTGCACTGTAGGGGCGTTGGTGATGTTAATCAATCACGTCGTCAGCAGACAGGCGGAGAAGTCCCGCAGACTGGATTGACCTCCTCCCCAGCAGTGGTCACCAGTGCGACGGCCGGCGTCAATTCGGCAGCGTCCGAGGGAACCTTCCGAGGAAAGTCTTTTAAAATAAAGTCAAAAGTAGTGGTGGCAAAACTGTGTTTATTCACAAAAGGCCAGGCCATATAAATAGCAACAATAGATTTAGCAGTAAGTCATGATTTCTTTCTCATTAAAATGTGAATAGAAACTGCTGTTGCCCCTTAATTTGACAGTCTATTAAATTTGTCAGCTTTATTTTTATTTTGTGGGGTGTGATGTAATTGAGTGTGTTCGGGAAAGGAAAGCTGCAGTGGAGAAACACCAACAAAAACAAATGTAGGCAGAATACTGTGATCATCATTTTGCTACTGGTTTCACCAGTGGTATTTGTTTTATTAGATTCATATATCCACATTAGAAACGATACAGAAAATCCCAGGAAAACTGGAAAAGGTTGAGATGTTTAGCATGTATTCAGTCCCAAATAATAAGCATATCTGTTGCATCGTGTGAGACCTTATTTATTAGTGGGGGTACGGTAAATGATTTGGGTTTATGTGCCAGAAATTGCTGAATACTTTATCCTTTTTCTGACACAACTCACGTTTTAGTCTCAAGGCACAACAAGTACTTCCGGTTCCTCTTAATAAGCTGTGTAAATCGACAAACTCCGTGATTTAAAATCCGCCAATTTTGTTTCTGAAACTGCAGTTGATTATAAATCATAGCAATTGGGTCCAATCAAATACCCGTGATGCGGCAAATGTAGACACACAACTAGGCTTTATTCAGCTACACAACACGGGAGGTTCTATGGTTGGATGGAGCCTGTAGGCTGCTGTGTGGTGGTTACACCAAGTATGAGGATCAGTGACTGTGGTGGGCGGACAGAACCAGCTCAGAAACGACTTCCACCTCGTTCTGAGCTCCGTCCCTCTGGGTTGTCTTTGTCTGCACCACTACACCACCTGCTGGCACTCCAACGGTCCATCACACCCTGCTGATCAGATCCTGGTGTTTATGGTTGCCTCATATTGGTTATAGTATAACCAATATGTATAACCGTTATACAGTATGTGAAGTCTAATGAGTGGCACCTGGCGATGTGCATTTCTGCTCCACAACTGGGAGAAGAGTGGTAAAAAGGGTTAGGTGTTTTGGGTGGTGCCAATTCCGTGGGAGGCCGTAGAGGACCGAGGGGAAAGTGGCTCTAAAGACCTCTGGTCCAGTGCTCCCTGTGTGGACAGGACAACAGGACTTCACCTGCTCTGCACAGGAGCATACTAAATCAGGGGCCATGTGTAAATTCCATATGTAAATGTTACATCAGCTGTTTTCCAACACCTGTATGCTGGATGAGGAGTTCTAAAATAAATACATAAATCGCCCATTGTGAATTTGTCAGACTATTACTTTACATAATTAGTAGTCAGGGAAGTTGTTTCATTCATTTCATTAATTTTTAATAGAAACATTATAGGCAAATTGTTTCTCAATTGTTGCCAAGTGTTCTGTGCAGTACACACTCTGTTATATTGGAAATTACTTTATATTTGATCATACACATGTAAAATTATTTCTTACTGCAAATATTAAATATACATTCCAGTAGTTTCCAAGTCAAGTGGCCTACTGGTTCAAAATCAATTTTAATATGTTTTCCCATGTGTCCTACAGATGGACAAACATCCATCCATCCTATCTAATCACCTTTATTTGGCCAAGTATGTTACACACACAGAATTTGTTTACAGTACAGAACCGAGGCAGCCATCTGCAGCGCCAACTCACTCCGATGGCTCTAACCAACAGGAACAACTTGTGGGTTCAGTGTCTTGCCCAAGGACACTTCAACTGTAGGCACTGAGATTCGAACCTCCAACTCTCCGACTGGGAGATGACCGCTCTACCCACTAAACCACAGTTGCTCCCTATACTGCTTATTCCTGAATAGGCCTTTTTTAAATTAATGGAAATATTATAGTTTTTAAGATTGTTTCCTAGTCCTAGTTGTGTTTCAAAATCTATTTTAAAATGTGTGCCCACATGTCCTACACAGGACATACCCTTTGTAATATAAATCTTTTATTAGATTTATGTCCATCCATCCATCAGGTCCAGCAGTGCTGCCCAGACATCCCATTCCCCAGCGACACTTTGCAAGGCCCAGACAGAGTATACAAATACCCATTGTCAAAGTGAGTGTGAAGAGATAATTTACTACATACTTTTTGACCCTTAAGCCCTGCCCAATTTTTGCACTTCACAGGTAAGTTAGCACTGACAATAATACATGCAGCAGGCACACTGGCGTGAATCGGTCACAATAAACAAGTATTGTGCTCCGGGGGAATCCAACATTGATCAGCTGATCAGTCACTGCCGCGGGGGGCTTCACTGGTTGGCTGCTTGTAGGTTAGACCTGGTCAGGTAAAACAACGAGTCCCTGTACAGGAACATTCCTGGACATGCAGTAACCTCAGACCCTGTATTTTTCTCCACATCCTCTGGTCTCTTCCTGGAGATTATGCCCATTGAAGGAAATCCTTAAACTATCACGTAATACATCATTTTGTTTTTAAAAAAGTCTCGCAAGTGAGACTTTGTGAGCCATGTATAAACCGAGTTGCTACTGCATAGAAATACTAGAACATACGTACACCTCATTTTTTGAGCTTTAGGTCACGCCTAAGATGAGAATTCACCATTGTAACATTGTGGATAAGTCAGGAAACAAGGAAAAGCATGTCATGGGCTTTTTAGTGATGATACTGACTCATTTGATGTAGATGGAACCCTTGCTTCACTTAGAAGGAGTTACTGTTCATACTGTATATCCCACACACTAGCAGATGTGTTTACAGAAACATTGTACATTTGTCAACATCAGTAAGTTGACTGAATAATGAGGGTGAGCACAGAGAGAAGAACAGAGGTTCTACTATGTATGCGCTATTCCACTCAAGTAAATTATTGGTGTTTCTACTTTTTTATATGTATTAGAGTATTTTACTCTAATAAACAACTTTCCCAATATTCAGCCCATTCTATTTTCTTATGTGTTTAATTTTATCTGTTTTTAATCTGCCCAGTTAATTGTTTTTTTTTCTTATAAACAAGCAAGGTTATGAAAGCAGTGAGGTATCTGAGGAAATCAGTGTCATGTAGTGAGGTTGATTCAGATGGTGTTTATTCTGTAGCCAAACCTTTATATCATTCAAACAGTGGTTGGCAGCCATTATGGGAATACATATGAGTTTACTTAAAGCATTTTTACATGTTTTTCAAACTCTTAATAACAGTTATGTTGGAGGACTATAGGCTGCAGATGGTTTCTAGGCTTTAGTCACACTACACCACACAAGAGTTTCCATCTGTCATTAGGCATTTGCAGTATGATTCAGGGCGATATACCTCCTTCACAGTGCACAATATGCAACCAGTTGATGTATTTTACATATTTAAAGTATATGCGGTAGGTAGGGGTTAGTAATCATTAATTGCCCGTGGTTTTATTCTTTATTTTTTGTAATTTTTTTTTTCAGATCTCTTTCGAGGTGGTACTTGAGCAACTTCATCAAGTAAATAAATTAAAGGATTAAATTGATCTGACATCTTGTACACTCACTTTGGCTCGGCTCACCTGTTTGATCCTGGAAATAAAGCATAAGCATAAACTTTTATTGCCAAGTATTTCAAGAATACAAGGAATTTGACTCTGTGCACAACATAAAAACATATATACAAGTTAAAAATCACAAGTTAAAAGAGCAGCACAGACTAGCTGTTCATCAGTATAATAGCTTGGGGCAAGAAACTGTCCTTGTGTCTGGTTGTCTTGGTGCACAGTGACCTGTGATACAATTAATTTTAGAAATGTCCATTAGTGGTTTTTGCTCCTAATTCGTCGGTTCGAGTGATGATCAACAAAAATGCCCAAAGATTCTTCACCTTCTTCCTTTTGATCGGTAACAACACTGTTTTTCACAAACCAGGTCAGATATTCACTTTCCTTAGTGGGAGCATACTGTGGTGGTGGTTTCTATGTATACCATGTGCTGAAATAAGGACTGTTGGGTGATTTGTACTTAATAAACTGAAGCCGGGTGTAAATAAACCCTCCAATTCATTCATAAAAAAATATGGTTGTAATATACTATTTTTTCATACTACATGTTACATATTCCAGTTTTTTCTCATCGTTTGCATCCTACAGCTGCTGTTTGTGCGCCGAAACACTGCTCCATATACTGTCAGATTCACCCGACAGTTTCAGACCAAAGCTGTTGAGGTCCGTTTAACAAACTGAAGAGAAAATCATGTATTTACAAATCAAATATATAGATCAATCAAAACCCATTCTGGAAAAGAAACACACCCTATTTATTTATTCTGGGTTTGTCACCACCAGGACATTTTTGGGCTGCTCTTCCCTGGACAGGGGTGCAACCTTCAGTAGTTCATGATCCTACTGGCCATTTGGTGTGAGCCAGAGCTCACACTTCCTTGTTGGAATGTGGTAAAATCTAGGTATGTGTGTGTCTCAGGCACCCTTATCTTGATCAAGGGGTGCCGAACAATGGGTGGTCTGGGTTGCAGGCCCCCTATGTGTGTGGGTCAAGGTGTGAGTGCAAAACAGGCCAACATGACTTTGTTAAAATGTAAATAGGCTGTCTGGTCCCTTAGGAGATGCAGACATCTAGTCTCTACAGAAAGTAAGCAGATTCTGCTTCATTACAATTGTATTTGGTTCTTGTTACCATTGCTAACTCTGAGAGACAAGGCAGTCCAAGTAACTTCAAAACAGTGCTGATTTATTCAAAGGATCACAGGTAAAATTAACATTACACGCTCAGGTATCTTGCACCTCCAAACTGCACGCAGGCAGATGTAAGATGAAAGACCCTGAACCCACCAGGCCTATACATTATATCCCTTCGGTTGGGCTAGCCCCATACTACACAGAAACGTCAACCGGGACGTCTCTGTTACCAGCTTTGCAGCTGGTCATAGCAGTAGTCAAAACATGAAGCAAATCAATGTGTGTGTGTGTCTGCTGATTAAGTGGTGTGTAACTAAAAACATTCTCACACGACCTCTAG